AGTTGGTACCGTCGGTTGAACGTCAGTGCACTGCACGTTGAACTGAAGTTTCTGGGTGTATTTTGTGCGACGGAGGGGGCGTTAGAATATACACTTTTTTTTCTTAGAGTAAGGACACTAAGAATGGAGATGCCGGAGGTGAGAATGTGCATTGCATATGGCACACAACTGTCAGCGGGTAAGAGGCAAATCCAACAAGTCGTGTTTTGGTGAGCGTCGCGAGGCCATTTTTTTTACCCACGCCTGCCTTTGCGCTCGCGGGCTGGGGTTAGGAGACCCCAGTTTTAAACTAATACATATACCGTGGCGCTCTTATACCGGTTCCCATGCTTTCGAGAATTACAGAGGTGTCCGTTGCTAAAAACCCAGTAACATTTAAGATTACGTGGGTGATTTTCAGCAATGATTTCCAACGTCTCCAGCGAAATGGCCTTTTCAGCGAGCTTGGACATCTTATCCTTGAGTTCGGGAGCGTCCCACAATGCCGAGGTTGGTATTCAATCATTTGTTTTCTCAAATACGCGGCGTAAAAAAAATAAACAATATTTTAATAATACTCGTTACAATAAATTTCCAAGTTCAACGAAAAAATATAAGCAGAAAGACGAAAACACGGAAGCAAATTAAACAATGCCGCAGCAGTCTTAAGCATGTATGATACTCTCATCGTATTCGTTACTTTCGCACTCGGGGAGATGATCCTGGTGACAATGTCTGCAAAAACAAAACATAAACCAGGGAACAGAAGAATGTCGTACCCAGAGTAATGACTGGCTGTAGACACTATAAGTTATTAGAAACTCGAACTTTGGAAAATAGATTTCCACGTGAGTGAGAGACACTACAGAAAACGAATACCAAACTTCTTTTCAATACACTAGCACTATGAGGTATGTACAAAGGCGTTCCACAGTGTCGGCCATTTGGAAAAAGTTACTATCAGTGGCGGGACGAGAAGTGCGGGACATCCTATTTTTTATTCGTGGTCTCTCGCACGCGCTTGTTGGGCTTTAGCAGCTCGCGCATGTGCTTGAACCTCAGAAGGCGCCGAAGTCAGGGTAGGAACCTCGCTCTGAAAGCGGGACAACCGAAACTCCTCTCCACTGTTCTCATCTTGTTATGGACAAAAGTATTGTAGATCAAACGAAACAACCGAGGATGTTTTTTTTAATATTTATATTCATCACATTTTAGATTGTTACGCACCCAAATCTAAACAATCTAGTGCTTCACAAAAACAGAGACGCACAAGGCCTGTGTGCTCTCCGTGAACGCCACGTTTTATGATAAGGCCCCGCTGCCCAAAGGCTTAGACATTTCGTTTTCGCGGGGAGGACAGACCCTGGAATGTAGCTTGGAGGGGGCAAGAGAAAAAAAAAGGAAGGGAGAAAAAGCCTTTTAAGGCCTTTTCGTAAGCCTGCTCTAGCGGAAGCGGGCACAGCAGTCCATCAGTTTTTTTATTGAGACAGCATGTTCTGTGCTACCTTGATCACAGTTAGCGGAAACGCCGGAGCGCGTGGCAGCGGGTACTATCAGAGCAGCCTAACGGCCCGGCGCGCAAGTTCCAGCGCATGCGCATCGCGCCTGCTGAGGGAATATGCTCTCATCGCGCGCATCGCGTCATCAGAGCGCTCGCGCGTCGTCTGCTACGGGCGTCGTCTTCTACGCGAAGCATGTCGCATGGAAGCGCAGGGGTTAAAATGCGTGTAGATGAACTTATCAGCCCACGGGCATGCGACAAGCATGCGAATATTTTGATGCATGATTCAGTATCATACCTTTTTTTCTTATATTTTATTAAAAAAATATTCGAGGCCCCCTCCCCCGCATGTGGTGTGCTTGATAAATTTAGGCGCCTTTGCATTGCTGTCAGAACGATTGCTGCACCTCGTCATGGCCAAAGTTCCAGAGGCGGACAGGTGATCGATCATCAAGCTCTCCCAGAAAGGGCACTCGCAGCGGGCCATCGGGGCCCTTGTAAAAAGGCCTCTAAAGACGGTTAATAGGATCGTTCAAGCTTTCCGTTACAGTGTAGGCCGGATCCACGACGCACCTCGAGGGACTCCCCCAAGAGCGACGACCGAGGATGAGGACCGTTACATTATTGCCGCTGTCGTCGAGGGCCTCTTTCTTTCGGCCAGGAAAATCCGAGAGGAGCTGGAATTGGACGTTTCGGACGTAACATTTCGTCGGAGGTTGGCAAGCGCCGGCCTGCATAGCGCCATGGCAGCGCAGAAGCCCCTGCTATCTCCTTCAAACAAGGAAGCGAGGCTCTGCTTTGCGATGGGACATGCGTCGTGGACGGCGGATGACTGGGGCCGGTCCGTCTTCTCAGACGAATCGACGTTTTCCACCAGGCAAGACGAATGCGTGCGTGTGTGGCGACCCCGCGGCGCACGGTAAGGCCTGCTTAGTATGCTAGCTGTTCTACGTAGATCTTGATAATTGTTTTCGTTGCGGAAATATTTCGTCGTTCGTTTACGTTCTCGCTACACACTCGCGATTTACTGCAATTCCGTTTGATAAAAGGCTGGGGTCTCTTAACAGTTGAATTTTCCGCTATGTTATTCGCAATGTATCCATTGTTAGTTAAAGCTAATTACGTTGTTTATTTGTTTTTTGTTATCGTTGGCTCCTATGGGTAGTCGTGACAGTCTTTGTTCCTTTCTCTTCTTTACCTGCGTACTTTCTGTGTATGCAGTTCGATAGCTTGGCTGAAAAATCACACCGCTCAGCTAGGGTCGATGCGCTCCTGCAGGAACGATCCTGCCTACGTGCAGCGCGTTGCTTCCAGCGGCAGGACGTCCGTGAACGTTTGGGGTGCCATCACAAAACATGGCCTCGGTCCTCTGCACCGCATAGTCGGGAGGCTGACATCGACCAGTTACTGCGACTTTGTGGACACCGTCCTTATATCCTTCGTTCGGAGTGGTCTCTTCCCCGACGGGAACTTCCTTTTTCATCAAGATCTAGCGCCCGTCCACACTGCGCGCACCGTGAAGGACCACTTGCGGCAGTGCGGCATAGAGTAGTTGCCATGGGTTCCGAAGGGCGCGGACCTCAACATCATTGAGAACGTGTGGGGCCGAATGAAGGCGGCCATGTTGCGGACTCCTATTTATTCCGCCACAGAAGACCAGCTGTGGGACGCGGTCCAAGCAAAATGGGAACGTTTGAAAGGAGACGCGTCTTTCGTGTCAAGTCTTTACGACTCGCTGCCGCCAAGGATGGCGGCTGTAGTCGAGCTAAACGGGCATATGACCCGTTATTGAGCCTGTTTTAGTTGACTTGATTTTTCTTTGACTGCAGGTAGCAGCCATTCAACTTTACATCAGCAATAAAGTTTGCACTTTTCTTACCCGACACTACTGACACAACGTCGTCGTTACAGAAATTGGCTGCAGCAAACTTTATGGGCAGAAATCTTAGACGTCTGCACCCCACAGTCACCAACACACATCTATCACAGGCCAAAAGGCAATAACAATAAGGAAGACAAGAACCACAAACTATAAATGCAGTTATCAAAGTCAGGACCACGTTAATTAATGATGCAGACGCGCTGGCCGACAATTAGTTTATGATCACCGCGCCCGAGATAGCTCTAGACTTCACAGGAAGCGGGGTCGGCGAAGCTGGCGCAGACTGACGCGAGAAGAAAAAAAGTCACAATGTTTATTTGCTTTAACAAATACTGAAACTAAACCAGGAAAGCAGATGAGCACATTGGAGGAGCTTTCATTTTAGGGTTCACCACCTTTCGGGTATGCCAAAGTTCTTGCTATCACCAGTAGCATGCGCATGGTAGACAACAGTCGTAGCAGACAACACACGTAGCAGACAACACACGTAGCAGACAACACACGTAGCAGACAGCACACGTAGCAGGCGAGGCGCGTTGCAGACGACAGGCGTAGCAGACGACATACGTAGCAGACGACAGGCGTAGCAGACGATACACGTAGCAGACGACGCGCGTAGCAGACGACAAACGAGCGCTCAGATGACGTGATGCGCGCGACGAGAATATAATCTCGCCGCACGCGCGCTGCGCATGCGCAGCAGTTGCGCGCCAGTCCGGTAGAGCGCTCTGATAGTGCCCGCTGCCACGCGCTCCGGCGTTCCCGGTAACTGTGATCAAGATAGTACATATCAATCGGTTTGAGGGGAACTTGCCACTGAAGTTTCGGCCTGCCACTGGCCCAAGAGCAAAGTTTGAAGAGCGTAAAAGAGAAAAAAAAAAAATCGGGCTTAAACAGGCCCGTGTCAACTAGTTATGAGACAAAAGGGCCAGTTGGCCTTTCGCTGGGCAGTGGACCAGGGGCCGAAAAAAAAAAGGGGGGGGGGGGGCATGGTTTCCGTAAAGCCGACCGGGGAAAAAACACGGACGGAGCAGAAGGTACACGGATGCAAGGCGATAACTCTTTCTACAATATCATCAACCAATATATTCGTTAATCATAAAAGAGCTGGGCTAGTTGGTATACCAACTAGCAGAATTCCCTCGACGTTACTCCAGTTTTCTTTTTTTAATTTTACATCCGGCCCTTCCTGTGCAGTGTTTGCCCTGATTGCTTGTTTCTTCTGCTCCGTTCCTGTTCGTACGCTCTTTCTCCATAATTACCAACGAATACCAACTACCCCAACGCTCGACGTTACTTCAGTTTATTTCTTTGACATCGGGCCCCTGCTGTGTCAGCATCATGCGCCCTGTTCATGTGTTTGTTTTGTTCCGTCCGTGTTTTTTGCGTTGTTTCTACATTATGATGAGCGAATACCAATTAACCCCACTCTCGGCGTTACTTAAGTTTAATCGTTTTTACATCCGGTCCTTCTCGTGTTAACCACGTTCGTCCTGTTTACGGGACAAACGTGTTTACATCCGCCCGTGTTTTTGTTTTTTCTGTTTTGCGCTGTTTCTCCATTATGATCAGATAGCAACTCTCGACGTTATAAAACAGATTTGGGCCTCGCAACTTCCATTTTGCTTTTCAACACAGATGAGTCGCTCGACCAGACCAATCAGAAGGTTGTGCATCTACACATCAGCGGATGAAGCTGTCAAAAACATCAAAAGTGGATCCACGGTTTTTCTTGGAGGTCAGTAACTTTCGCACACTCTTAATTCGTGCGTCTTAGCCCTAGAAAACTATAATGGCAGATATATTCATTAGTTTATTGCTTTGATTTTAATTGCTCAAAGGCCGCCACGCTCATAAAGCTACAATACAGACTAAGAAAACAATGAGAACCATTGCGTGACATGGCCGTCATAGCTTCGGGCCTAACCAGGCCCTGGCTATGAGCAGGGTATCTAGCGGAAACCGAATGGAAAACCGGTCGTCGAAGTGAAATTTGTGGGTTAACCTGGCAAACCTACACGGGGCATCTGGCACGCTTCAAACTGAGGATAAATTTACACCAAGCGTAATATCTAGAAGGGAAACTGGAACGCACCGAAATCTCTGCCATCTTTAAACTCACTCCGGAGTAACTAGCCCCGCACTCGAGGTTACTTCAGAATTAAACAAAAACAACAAAGAACTCTCGTACACCAATTAGAAACCGGCGTAGAAGAGTTCTTAATTTTTTGTTGTATGTTAATCTCACGAACTGTAGATATTAAAATTAGGGAACAAGGCATAGCTTGAGTATGTCCGCCCGCACTCGTGCAACGTACAAGCAGATCTTGAAAGGTCGTGAAACGAGTTAGGATTGCACTGTGGTGTGAGGCCGGCCTCTGGTCTGTCCACTTTGGTACACTCGTTACAAGACGTGCCACAAGCCTTGGCAATAATAATATTAATAATAATATTAATAATTTATTGTTCCGCTAGTGTTGCGAAACAGCCATAAAGGCCTATTTATTGAAACACTAAAAATATAGACTAAGGCATTGACCCATTACATTAAAACTTTGAACCATTTCGCCTTCACAGATTGTGGGCACTACAATCAAAACGACACAAGGCCGTACATTCGATCAATGTGGAACTAAAAATAATATACTCTTTAAAAAAAAAACACGAATGCAAGCAACACAAAACAGGAAACGCTACCTGTATTTTATTTTTTCCGAGAAATTATGAACATATATGTCTATTTCAGGGAGATAAACTTCGTTATAGCGATGCTGAATTTTAGACATAAGCGAGACATGTGGATGGTTATTCGGTTTAAATGGAAATATAAACTTGTGACTCGGAATGAGATCATAAAGGTTGAGAAAACTCACCAACGAAATACTATCACCTTTTCCTAAAATTACTTTGCGTAAAAACTAGAAATTAATTGCTGCGTGTACACTCGCACCGTAGTGACGAATGACATTAATAGTTGGCCATAGATACGTCCAATCTCAACCCGTTGTCTTGATGTCAGATTGCCGTAAAAGCTGTTTGAGACCAGGGAGTATGTTTAAAAATATAAATAAAACACCTGAAAGTGTGTAAGTGAGGATATAGCCATGCTCATAGCTCATTAAACACTAATTACAGATAACGCCATATATTACCGAAACACCGTTTGTCTGTATTATTAGACATATTGACATCTAATACGATTATTAAAGAGATATATCACCACGTAATCTGAAAAAATAACAGAAGAATTCGCAAAAAAAAATTATGTGACTTGTTTACAGGTTTTCCTTTAAGTTTTTTAGGGCTTTCTTGGTGGCTCCCGGGTGGTATATAAACTTGACATCGTCAAACCTGCAGACTTGTATATTACATATTAGTTCTTAAGTAAAGGAATTAGACATATTATACTGACTTCCTTACGCCGCAAAATACACGGAACTTTACGGTATTTATGACTTCACTAACAATTAATCGAATTGTTGGCATTCCTGGGCACCATCAGATCCTTCTCTTACTTTCGCACTCCAGTTCAAAGTCTCAATTAAGCGCTCCATAGTGAACATAAAGTGCGTGGGTTATATCAGCCTTAGTATAAAAGTTTCCGTACTCCGGGCAAGCCGTTAGTCGCAGATGTCAGAATATTGGAACCAGATGCTTTTTTACGATGATAAAATACATCTTATTGTATTTCTTTTTTACATTTAACTACCTTTTTAAATGTAATGGCGTTTGTAACTTAACACCCTTTTGTTTATGCATTTTGTTTTTGTATTTTGACATACGTTCGAAAGTGTTTTGCCCAATCCATGTTTAACGTAACTCCCCGCAGAAAAGTTGAGCTAGCTCCAACTTTCTTCATGTGTGCAGTGGCAAACGTGCCGCGTTGACTTCGTTTCACCGTAAGTCAGAGCGAGGTAAGAATTCACTCTCAATCGGAAACGCACAGACAGATTGACAAGGTCACGGCGCTTTCTTTGCGCTCAACTGTCTGAAGCGCCCTAATTGCAAAAAAAAAAAAAAAAGATATATGCACTCATTCAAGCTACAGCTCATAATAACACGCGGAAGACGCATATGAAGAAAAATCTTGGGGGATCGGTGGCCGAGGGGGCCAGTGCATACCAGCTAAAAGCACGCGGAGCGAAAGCTTCCGCTGCAGAACCCAGGGATTTTGGTCTCAATCCCCACCCCTGCCCGTTTCGATCTGGATGAGCATCGTACCGGCGTGCGGTCGTGTGTCACTACTGCCTGGTGCACGTTAAAGACCCCAGGCTAGCGGTTGTACTGCACTGGCTGAATTGCTCATCTACAGCGAGTGATTTGTCGCAAATTTGAAATGGCTGACCAACTACACGCTGTGTAAATATCCACACAACCTAAATTATTAAGAAAATCTAATATTTAAGTAGTTTTATCAGCGAAGTTTACAACATTAATGGGGCCGTGGAAGGACAGTAGGGGCAAGGATATTAGGTGTGCATGTTTTTTCACTTTACACTAGCTTACTTGCGCAAGTGGAACCCAAGTTTGCTTGCAGGCCACGTGACTTACCAATGCGCCTTCTTGTCGCCGCGTAGTTAGAAGCATACAAATTGACGTTTTCTTTCGGTATCTACTTCGCCAAAACCTAATGACGGAATCGCAGGGATTGCATTGTTAGCGTTGTCACCAATGTGATCCCCAGGATTTCGTGATCAAGTTTAGAGATCCCATTGGTGACCATATTAAGACGTGACTCATATAATTAATAGAAGCATTGCCTTACCATCTATTTACGTCCATGGCCTGCGTCACGTTCACAAAACATCACCTCGGTAGAAGAGGAAGGAGAGGTCGAAGCTCGCGCTGTCCCATTCCATTTTCAGTCACCCCTGAAGAAGAAGTCAAGACGACCCCGAAACGTTGGGAACTCTTTGTTTCTGAACTTTTGGTTTGAGTTTTCTTTTTTCCGAATTGCTCCCCAAACCAGACAGATTTCGGTCGAAGATGTTTACTTTTAAGCATTGCTTGAGCATTCGAGTTGGCCTGGTGACAATCAACAGCTCGACATGCGTTCGGATGGCACCTGCATTTATATGGAGGCGACCCTAGCGCACCGGATCGAAATTTGACAATTTTGATTGGTAGCAGATGAGTAGAAGAAGAATAAATACAAAGACAAGCTCCGTGCGATTGGTCCCTGCGCGATTCGATGCGTTTCGATCGCATTCATATAAAACGTATTCAAGGACTCGTGCCCAGTCGCTGCAATAAAGGGAATAGCCGATGCAGAGTCCTTCAATACGCTACTGGTCACAGAACCTCCCCCTAATGTTAATGGCGATCTCGGTGCGCGAACACGCGTAGCACTAGCGCCGGCAATGGGGCGTGGAACCGCCAATATAGCCAGCACAGCTTGAAGTTATGCAATAAATTGGAGGCACCACGATCCCGTAAACATAGCTGCCTGCTATTTCTTGCTGGTAAAACATCGTTTTGTGTAAAATAAATGAACACAGCCTATTTGTAAGGTTGTGAAATCAGAGATTATTAAAAAATAATCGGTGCTTGCGCAGAGTGATTAGATATGGACGTCATAAAATGCCGGTGCACGAGAATTGTCTTTTGAAAACAGCTTGTTGTCACGATTTTTCAGTGGCTCACAGAGAATGTGGTGACGAAACAATAATGTCCCCACTGTAAATATAGCGTCCCTGGTGGCAGCTGTTGACCTAATCGAGTTTATTTTTGCGCGCATCCCTGGGCCGGTTTTCTCATCTCACAGCTGTGGCCGCGATTTCGTCCATGAGGGTTTTTTCCGTCACGTGACCAGCTCGATGGGGACATGGAAGTACGCAGTGCCCTTGCCTAATGGCACATACACCTGTGTCGCTTCGAGCCCAGGGGTTCGATTTCGCACGTATCAACTGATCGCAAAGGCTTGCAATTCGAGATTAACTTACAGCACCCTTACACTTTGGAAGAGCCAGGTAATGTTTCGGTCGGGGAAAGTCAATATAAGCCCCCACCTCCTCCAAAAAAAAAAAAAAAAAAAAAGGAAAATAACTTGAGATGAAATTAGCGACGCAGCTTCTGCCGTGTGCTGCAGTCGGGAGGTAACAGAGCCGGGACCTGTCGCGGCGTGAAAGCTCCGTGCTTGAAACGCGCCACAACTTTCTTGTTTTATGAAAGCTTTTAATTTCTGGTTAGACCGATCTCACCAAGCGTTCGGCGTATGTGTGACGCCGCCATAACTTTAGGTGAGGGTGGCAGACAGCATGTTCTCAAGACGCTTCGTACCGTCTCGTGCCCTGCACCCGCAGTGCTTCAGCGGGGTTTTTCCACGTGCAGAAAACGAAAGTTCCCTCGATGCATTGCGTCATGGGCGGCGAAACGAAAATGGTTGGTGATATCGGTCTAATGGCACAGCTGCGATGTTTGTTAGTGCTAAAACAGACACCTGTGTAAGGGGGGGGGGGGGGGGCTGTTTTTGAAGAGAGTCGACGGGAGCTCCCTGTATGATCAAAAAATACATAAAAGTGTAGTTGCTGGAGAAAGGATGCTTTATACCGCCCAGTTTGTATGCAGGTCCTGCCGATGCTGGTAGCTGGGCTTCCTTTTAATGAGCATTATGAAATTATTCTATTAGCGCATTAACTCAGCTTGATAGTTATTTTCGTTTGATGTGTCGATTCAACAAGGAATAATAGCATTTTACGGCGTAGTCTTATTAGTAGATGATTTGTAAAAAAGAATCAC